CTTAGTTCTTGTTGAACATTTCAAATTTACCTGCTTAAATGATAATATCAATGTATATCATGATTTGCCTCATAAATTTATTCTTGCATATTCTGTATGTTGCACTAGGTGGTGTCTTTCTAGTTGGATCAATATGCTTAGAGGATGGTACTTATGTTTGACACTTCCTATTTGGGCGTCACTCAAGAAGTATATGCTAGCATCATCTAGGAACAATAACATCAAGTTTATTAGTCAGTGAATCTTTTTTTAGGAGGTAGCATTCATAATCCTTATAAAGTACATATCCCTAAAGAATCATTTGGAGATGGGCTATGCTTTCCCCTCTTCAAGGAGGTATTTAATCGTTTATATTTGGTTATCATGCTGTAATGTGTGTGCATCTCAGACCATGTTGTTCTTTTCTTTTCTGAAAGCAGCTTTTATGTGCCTAATGTCATGTATTTTACAATTACCGTTTCTTTAAATTTTTGTTGGTATAATAACTTGGATTATACTGTGAAGGTGTTGATGTTTTATATATTTCTGATAGCAATAGCAGATTTTGTTGAGAATGTATTTACAAATACAGAGGCCACTTTCAACTTAAATCATGTCTAGCAAACCATTAAAGTTCGATCTCATGTTAATTGGAAACAGTCTACATAAGCTTATTATCTTTCTGTGTCTGTCTTGACTTGATACCACTTCCTTCTCTGACTCACCGTTCACACAAGTGCACTTAACTTTCTTTTATCTGCATCTAGCCTTTTGTTAAAATCTGTTATACCTGCTATAGGATATTCTTGGGTGTTAGAGATTGTAATTTGGAGAATTTAATTTCTGACTGTGAGAAAATAAAATCAGGATATCAATCCCACCTCCTTTTGTTATGGAAGAATTAAGCTTATTGCTGAATTTGTCATTCAGAGCTGACCTGCCAGTGTAGTAAGTTAGCCTCACAGGTAAGAGAGCCATCGTCATCACATTTGGGACACATGGGTGAGAAAGGCCTAACCATTTCTCAGCAAAAGAGGCCCACTCTGCGAACAAGGTACTGTTAAGGTGGATAGGCTTTTAGCTCCCAGGGTTGGCGCCTTGTGTGCCTCGAACTATTTTTTAGAGGCTTCTTTGGGATTTCAGCCTGCTCCCACTCCATCCAAACGTCTCCCGTCTCACAAGGCTGTAGATAGAACAAATTACAGGGAAGCAAAAGTCATTTTATGTGAGGTTGAGAGTCTTGATCAAAATAAAACTTTGTTTCTTGCTTTTGAAGCATTAGATGGACATGTTTAGGTGCTTGCACTCCCAGTTTAGTAATCCCTATCATTGTCATATAAGGATTGTTGGTTATCGGTGTTGGTTCTGTTTGACATCAGAAGCACATTACAAGGAAAGTACATATTATATCATTTGAAGTAGTTGACCAGTTCCGTTTCTGTGAATGTTCTTATTTTTGGATGAGCTTTTACTATGTTGTATGCTTGTACTATGCTTAAAGAACTTTTACTGATCTGTTTACTGAATAAGTATATCCATTGATTTTTGGTTGTTCACAAGCCATATTCCTTGAGCTTTCCTTGTCTTTCTTCTTAATTTAATCAGATAAACCATTAAATATTCTTAAAAACTCGTGGAATTTCTTATTATCCGTGCAATTGGGACTAATTTTATTGATGTGCTTTCTACACAGAAATTCAGAAATTCAAAGAAATCGGGGAAGATACTACCTTTGGTCATTCGCTTGAGGATGTTGGTATACCTTCAAATTTCACTTCAGATGACTCAAATTTCCCTAGACCAAGCACATCTGTGCTGTCACAGAACAGAGATGGTGCTCAACATTCTCTTAACTCCTTGGAGTCTGAAGTGTTTAGCCTAAAGCAGAATATATTACTGTTGCAAAACAAGGTTCAGAAGGCAGCTGACCTGGTTATATCCAAGGAAGCAAGAATTACTGAACTTGAAGCCATTTTAGGTAGTAGCTCAAAGAGTGAAGAAGAGACTATTGAAAGTGAGTTCGAAGTTCTCTTCAGACAGAAAATTGAAGCTGAAGTTCAGTATTTGGCATTATCAACAACAGCCCAAAAGTTGAGAAGTGCAGCAGTGGATCAACTTACCCTCTTGGAAGAACAGAAGACATTAGCTTCAGAACAAGCACAGATGGTGCACGTGCTAGGAGATGCCGAAGCAAAGGCTGTAGTGCTCAAGACACAAACCAAGAAGTTGGAAAGTTACTGTGAAGATTTAGCAAGCACTGCTGAAAAGCTAAAGCTACAGAAGAAAGTCTGTAAGTACAGTTCGTGTTTTTTCATACAGTTGTTGTTGTTGGCCGCTGTCGTTGGACTGTTTCTGATGCAGATATCTCCTGATCATGCTGAACTTGTACCCACCTAATGTTAGAGAAGTTTCTTTCTTTCTCTTTTTTTTTTCTCTCCCTATTATCAACATCGTCATCCTTCAATGTTGAAAGTTAGATTAGTTTGTTTTAGATGTCTATAGATAGCTGAAATACCTACACTTCTCATTTTGCCGAGTCTGTATTCAAGGGTAATCATAGAAGATGATCCGTTCGTTCATAAGTTGAGAGATAATTTTGCTTCTGTAAAAGGGTGAGCACGTTGAAGTTCTTTAACCTGGGGTCTCATATCAATACGACTTTAGACATTTCTGTTTGTGTGTGATGAACTATGTAATGATCTAATTGGATTATCATACGACTTTAGACATTTCTGTTTGAAGTTGAAGCAAAAATGGTATGTACATGAATTGAAGCTCGTGTAGAAAAGCAAGCCTGAACTTCAGCCATACGAAACATCAAATACCACGTGTCTTGAGTTGTTCCGAAGTTGATAAACTTGTGCATGTATGACTTAAATGGTGATCCCGAGATCGGGTATCTGGCCCTTTACAACAGCCTTAAAGGCTGTGCCAACATTCTAGGCCCTAACCATGTCTGTTATCCATGGCCCTTTTATAAGATTGCTAGTCTTTAGTATGAAAAATATTGAAATATTAAAGTAGATAGTAAATTACAGGTAGTTGATCAGTTATGTATTATTTTCCTTCTAAGGAATTACGTGTGGTATTTTTTATTTACTTTAGAAGGAGAATAAAATCTGGCCACTGACATGTGAATCCATAAATACAATGTTTGTTTTTGCTATCTAATTATAGTAACCTTTTCTTCTGTAATACTCGCTTGAACCACCATATATTATTTCCAACTCTGTTATTTGACTGGACTATATAGCCAATCAAATGTACTTTATACCTTAAGGGTTCGTTTGGTTTGGTATGATGGATAAATGCTAATTAATTTTAGGATGAGTTTATTGTGATAAAATTGCGGGATAAGTTATTCTGAAATTGTAGTGTTATTTTTATCCTATATTAAAGATGAGATAACTTGTTTTTCAACTAAACAAGCTCTAAAACAATTAGATAAATATAGTACTCCTTACTCCATAGAGAAGTCTTCATCATTGATCATGTCGCTCCATTTAAAACGTTGTTATACTAATAACGCATTTTTTTTTCTTTCTAAAATGACATTTCGTAGTCAAATTTTGAGATTCAAAGTTTAGTTCTATCCTTAATTTTACAAGTTCAAATCACGAAATACAAGTCGTTGAGAAGATTTGTGATGAAAATACAAAAGGTTGATCTTTTGTCACTTTTTACTTTTTAATTGTTAAACTACATGGATATCGATCAACATTTCAAGATATAATCTTTTACCATATGCAATTTATAGTTACTTTTTATATATTTTTTTTTGAATATCTAAAATTTTAATTTTAAAAGTTTGTATTAATCTAATTCAATTTAGTTTCAAAGATTAATTTTTGACAAGCAAAACATGACAACTATTTAGAGACAAATGGGAATATAGAAAATTGAAATATAGCATTAATATGTGGATTTGGGCGGTGTGAATAAGGCATGAATATGATCAGATAAAATACTACGAGTGAAAGAAATACATAACTAGTAAATGACTACTTAATTAAGGTAATAAATGACTATTTTCCATATTCAAAGTAAGAAATTAAATGCACGCGGTAAAAAAAATAAAAGAAACTTTTGCAAAGAGTTTTGGTAACTTTCATAGTTTCATTTCATACTCTTTGACAAAAATCTACATTTAATTGGGTAGAGATTTTAGTAAAATGAATGGGAGAATATCTATGACGATAATTATCACTTTCAAAGTTCAAAATTATTTGAATTCACAAGAGTTTTCATTTGATTAGGATACTCTTTTCTTTTGGTTTGATTGGTAGTCAAAATCTTAAAAGATTTACCTTCTAAACATACCGTTCAAAACAAATCATCTATAATAATCTACATAAATTAGAAAAGGAAAAATTCTTTTGGCCAGAAAATTTAAAAAAATATGTTATTTTACATTTTAAAACATTTTTATCCTTTTAACTTTAATACATTTTAATTAAAAAATGGAAAACAAATCAGTTTAACTTTAAATAAAAAGAATACTATAAACTTTTTTAATTTTCTGGCCAAATTTTCTGGCAATTTAGCATTACCCGAAAAGGAAAATATTAAAATATATACTTAAAAGAACAAGATTATAGTATCTCTTTTTCCCACTTCCAATAAATGAGGAGAAAAATATATATACTCAACATGTTTAATCTTTAATTAATTAAAATATGTGCTTTTTAATCACTTTACTAATTAAATGACTTACATTTGGACTTTTTTGAGAAGTATATTACGCTAAAAATATGGAGTAATAACATAAACGACAATAACAATATATTCAGTATAATTTCACGAGTAAAATCTCTAAGGGTAATTTTATATGTAACATTATTCATGTTTTATAGATAGATTCCTCAACTCAAGTTTAACATATAATATATATATACATGAATAATTAAATGACGGAATGATAATCCAAATTTAAAAGTATAATAATTACCTCAAAAAATAAATAAAAATTTAGAAGAAGAAAAAAAAAAAAAAGTGATTACACATTATCTGTTTTTCCTACCCACGCCACGCCACAGTCAATGCCTCAGTTGAGAACGTGACAGTCAATTTTCCACACATTAGCAGTTTTAGAATGACTCTTCCTAATCCCTTCCCTCTCTTCCTCTTCTTCTTCTTCTCATTTTCTAATCTCTTTTCTCATATTAGTTACTTGTAATTATCTTTTCGTTTTTGAAGCTCATGAATTTTTTCTATTTTTTTTTCTCGCCATGACTTTCCTTTTCAGCTAAGTTACCTCTTTCTCAGCTCGTAGCTAACATAATTTTTTTTTATAATCAATAAATTTTACTGTTTAGCTACAAAATTTGTCTGTTCGCTTGTTCTAGTTAATTCAATAATTATCAAGTTGGTATGGGGACGTTATGGATAAATCAGATCTCGGAAAAGGAGGTGTTAGGAGATGACAAAGATGTTATGGAATTTGGAGATGAAGATGAAGATGAGATTATTCCAAAAGATAATGATGATAATAAGAAGAGGATTTGTCGTGTGTGTAAGAAAGGATTTAGTTCTGGTAAAGCATTAGGAGGTCACATGAGAATTCACGTTCAGTCTTCGAAAAAGGAAAAATCGAAACCACGAGGAGAAGAACAAGTGGATGTAGAAAATTGCAATAATGATCAGTTGGTACCAATTTGTAAAGTGTGTGGTAAGATTTTTCCGTCGATGAAATCGTTGTTTGGGCATATGAGGTCTCATCCTGAACGGGCATGGAGAGGAATTCTTCCTCCTCATTTGAAATCTAGCGATGAGATCGGAGCGAAAAAAACAGCTTCTGCTACTACTACTGTACCTGGATGGTCAGTTACAGCTAAGCGAGGGAGAAAGCCCAATGCTGAAGACGACGAACAATTGCAGGATGCTGTTCATCATCTTATGCTGCTCGCCAACGGAGATTCAATTGAGTCTGGTGTTACTGGACATGATACTCTGGAAGAATTGGAGAAAACGAACAGTAATTATTCTCTTACTTCCAAAGCTGAAAATGAGGAATTTGTTGCTCAATTGGAGATTATTGATAACAGGAAGAGAAGGAAGAAGAAGAAGACGAAGTTGAGGCATCTGAATTCTGTACAGGATAGTCCAGCTTCAGTTACAGCAGCAACGCCTGAAAAATTCAAGTGTAACACTTGTGGAAAAAGCTTCGCAACTCATCAAGCACTTGGTGGACATAAATCAAGCCACAATAAGTTGAGAATCGTAATTGAAGATTCTAATGTAGCTGCAATCAGTGAAGAAGCAGCTGCTAGCAGCTCAAAGTTGTTGGCTGATGGAGGAAGAATTGTGGATTTTGATCTCAATGAATTGCCCTCTGATCATGAGGATGAACTTGCTGGTAATCCTGACTACTTTCCCTTTTTTTCTATTTAACAATATATAAGTCTTCAAGTTCGAGGTGTGGAATCAATCGACTCCTCAGGATGCTTTCTGCACCAGAATGCTATTATCGATAGTACATTAGTTTTAGTCTATATATCAGTTTAAATTTCTAATCATTGCAAAAATACTTGGTAATTAACCATCTTGGTTACTTAGCTTGTATTTTTTTTTCCTTGTTTAACATCCTTAGCTTAATGTGGTGTTTTGAAGTTGGGGTTTGTTTGTTATTATCTTGATGGGAAGCATGATTGTCTAAACAAGCCTGCTGGAAAACACCAAATGTATATAAATATGCACAGGATCTCTTGGTTTAATTTAGTTTTGATTTCTCCCAGAACTGTTTTTCCTTGAATCGAGGATCTATCTAAAACAACTTTCCTGCCTCTAAGGTAGGATAAGGTCTGTTACAACTTCGCTATCTTGGGTATGTTATTGTTATTGTTGATTTCTCCGCGACATATATTTAGGTTTCAATTCATTGTGTTTGAGGGCTACTTTCTCCGTTTGCTGGCTTTTTACTTTTCGATAGTCAATTTTCATTAATTTTTGAATGAAAATTACTACTATAAGTCGCATTATAATATGATAAGAAAAATGTATTTTAAAATTTTGGTCAAAATTCACGTAGTTTGAAACTTTGAATCTTGGTAAATGAAAAGCCATATATAGTTTGGGTCGGAAAGGGAGGTAGATGGTTGTGATTGCTTCATTTCTTTTTCAAAAACAACCTCTCTATCTCCACTATGCTCTACATGACTTGTGAATCAATACACTTTGTATGTTATTATTGTTGTTGTAGTAGTATTTAATGAGACTAAGAAAATAATAGTTTGGTTGTAGAAATCTCGATACATTTGAAGTCAAACTTTATCATTTATTCTGATTGGGAAAAAATAGAAATTCAAGGACATAGCAGACCAAAGGAAATCTTCAAAGAGTAGGACTCTAAACATCGTTTGCAAGTATATAACTATAAAAAGAATGTGTAAATCCTTTAACAAATTACCCCTTTCATCTCAAATCACTAGTGGCATTTTCAATATTTAAAGATGTATTCTTCACTATACTAATAATTGAAGAATCGATTTTCTTGAATCTAGAATTTATCAAACGTAAGATCTGTAAATATCCATTCTTTCTGCTCCTACTCGTTGGATTATATTGGATACAATACTGTCGTATTGATATTATATTGGGTATAATATTGTCGTATTAATATAAGAACGACAACTTATAATACTTTTCGGGAAGATTTTGAATATTTAAGTTTTAAATTTTAAATATTAAATTAGTCAAATTATCTTAAGAACCGTAACTTATAATACTTTTCATGTAGTTTTTGAATATTTAAGTTTTAATTTTTAAATATTAAATTAGTCTATCCAATATAATATTTAAAAATTAGTCAAATTAACTTTCGAAAAGGATGATATTTTTAGAGGAGGGAAATATTGTGATCATAGAATTAATAAATTAGTTAATTTGAAAGTGTTCAAACCGTAAGTCACGGCTTAGGAAGAGGAAGAGAAGGTCTTGTAAGATGAGACTATCAAGGAGAAAAACCAAATATAGTTTAGTTTATCATCAATGCCAAAATCATTTTTCGTTGATATATTTACCTATGTGGGATCAGAAAATAGATGTATTCAATATTTACACTAATAAACTATATATAAATAACTAGCTAATGTAGAAACTATAGTTTAGTTTATCATAACAAAACTATATACTTATATACTTTGATTTAGAACAAGAAACTGTATTTTACAAGTTGAAAAACACATTTACTTTTTTAAACCTTGGCTAAATTAATTCTTTTTATATTAATTAGCCATACACAAACAAATTACAAAAGCTTTTCATATTGAGAAAATGAAGATGGTGACTAATTTTCCTTTTTGAAAGAGTATAATTCTGAAACATTTAGGAGGGAATGGTACAATATATGGTAAAGGTAAGAAATAAGTATTATTAAGTCCCAACTGTTTACTGCCCACATTCTCGTGACCATAATATATATGAAAGCATAATTCTTAATTTTCCCACTATCATTTTTACTCTATATATATTCTCGTCGCTTGGTTTGATGTATAAAAATTGTATTGAATAATGTATATTAGAAATAAAAAGCTTAGAAAAGTATTGTATTGTTAATATCATGATTTATTATTTATAAGAATAGAATTGAATAAGATGTATAAGTAATATATGTATTAGCTAGTCATATTGAAAACACTATCAAACAAGGGATTCAATAAGACCATAAATAATACCAGTATTATTTTCTCTAATACCTCCTACCATACGATTCCTGTGCGAAGTGATGGAACTATAATTTATAGTCATCTTCTAGCACTAGCTTATATTTTCTTGATCAATTAACGTAAAACCAATTTTCTTAGAAAAGTCAAATGGTTGTTCTACTATTTTAAACGTTTAGTGAAATTAAGCTTATTGAGCTAATTTTTAAAAATAAGGAGTCTTACATTTGATTTTGGCAAAACGTTTTGGGGAGATTCAACCTATTTCACTTGGGTATGACAAAACAAAAAGTCTTTAAATTTTAAAAATATACTCTTAAAGATGAATTCTTCATGCACGCCGAATACATTAAGTTTTAATTTTGAATTTAGTTACTCATAATATTGCATTCATCCTTTCAGAATTCTAAATTCACCCCTAACGACAGAATCCTAGTCCTATATTTCTCATTATGTCTTGCACGTTGCAACCAAGAATTTTTTATAAGATATTTTTCAAAAATGATTTTCATCCTATCAAACGCATCCAAAAAAAAAAAGAAGAGTTTTTAATAATACTTATGTTTTATAAACCTTCATTTTTCTCATGTACATGTACATCCCTTTAGTTGTGATACTTTTGATAGTCAACTTTTAGCAACAACTCAATTGAGACGCAATTCTCCTTTATAATTAACTTCTAATATTAATATAATGGAGTATATCTTTTAGTCCAAAAAAAAGGGTACGGATTCATGTTTATTAGGAAACAATTCATCTCACTATGAAATTTTACGATGCATATATAAATAAATTTAGTCGGATCCAAATGCATAAGAAAACAAAGATAGTACTAGTAATTCTTTGGCACTATACAAATAAAAGCTACTGCATTACAAACAAAACCACATCAATTTCACATAAATCAGTTAAAAAAAAAACACATCATACTGTTTTTTTTTTGGTTCAGCCAAAGAAACTGGGATCATATCCATTGCTAGAAGTAGCAAGGATATAATAAGCAACAATATGTCCAATAGATCCCCAAGCAAGCACATCAACAATATTGAATCCAACTGGATCATTAGATTTTAGCAAACTTATATATTCCTTAGCCCTAACATCTCCAGCTTCAAAGTGAGAAATTCCATTCTGAGACGGAACTTGTTTCGCCACATTTTCTCTCTGGAAATTAAAGAAAACGAACCTTCCAAGGAAAAGTGAAAGCCCAGTGCTCAAACTGATGACAATTGATGGGTTGAGTTCAGCTTTCACAGCAAGATTTCGGGTTTTTTTGGTGATAGGTTTGAAGGCGATGGGTTTGTTGAAGAAGAGGGAAGAGTCAGTGGGTTTGTTGAGTGGTCTGAGACCTTGGAAAGTTGGTGCAGAAAACAGAGCTGATGCCATTTTTGAGTTGTGTGGAGGTTTGGGGATTTGGAAATTGTTGTTGATGCAATGCAAATTGGGGAGTATATGTGGTTATTTGTGGATTTGGGTTTGGAATATATCTAAAAGATGAAGTAGGATTTGATTTGGAAATGAGTGAGAGGAAATGAGGGGAAGTAGATTTTTGGAGATGAGTTGGCTTTCATTTATTGGTTCTTTGTGGATTAGAGATCCTTGTAACTTGTAACCCAACCTTTTTCTTTTTCTATACTAGCAAAAATATATATTTTCAAATGAGTTTAAGTTATTTACATTGTAAATATAATTTTAAAAAAAGATTAATTTATTTATTTTCAATTCATGACATCTAGTTAAAGATGGAGGATCTTATATGTTTCATCCTAAAACGAATTCAGTTTATGCAACTCTACGATGACCTTAAGTTGATATAACAGTAATTGAATTTAATCAAATATTTGTAGATATGTATAGTAGATTTCTTAATTTATGTGAGTGTTTAACGAGTTAGGGATGAAAAAAAAGATTTTTGAAACTTGTAGTTTGAAATTAGTTATAAATATTTATAAGACTAGAAATCATTTCATTTAAGATAAAATGAAATAAAATTATTACTACTAAAAATATGTCATTACTATTCACATCCATAAAAAGAAAAAAAAAAGAGTGTCACGTAAAGTTGAGACTGAAGGAGTACCACATTGGATGGTCAATCCCCGTTCACCACACGTCTTATAGGCCGTGGCTGAGCCAATATTTTTACTACGGATGTTCATAATCTGAAGAATTTAACACACAAACTAGCTGAAGGGGATGAACCCCGACTCCAGGGTGGCTCCGCCCCTGGCTTATAGAAGTAATAGTTTACCTTGATACCAACTCACGTTAGAATAGTCACGTAATTATGCAAGAACAGACTGTGCAAATAAGAAACACCAACTTCTACAGCTCTAAAAATACATACAACACATCATAAAAGAAGATTGACATCAATTTCACAGGTCCTTCTAAAGGCTAGTAAAACAGAGTTTATGTCTATGCAAAATAGGCCACCAACCAACATGGAAAGTTACATTGGTTGGCCTATGCTAAAGAAAAAAATACTTCGTTTTATCGTTCAAATGACTGAAGATCGTCTAGCTTTCTGTATATCACTACACTCTACATCTTCTGTGCGCACAATTTCTTATGGGACATATAAATAGCACAACAATACAACAAATATGAACCTAAATATAATCCACTTCTACCTTCAAAGTGCTCATATCATTGCATCATGGTATGAATAGTTGTGTTGTCGTCCAAACTCAAGGAGACTACCAAATGTGCGATTCCTCAATCCAATGAAAAGGGACTCTGTATCGGGACTAAAAGACACTCCTGATATCTCACCGAAGAAATCAATTTCTTGCTCCACCTCATATCCACTTTTAACATCCAAAACATGCACAAAATCTGCAGACTCTGCCATAGACATAAATCTGCCATCAGACGTGTAGCTGATTGACCGA